ATTTCGGGTTATTCGTATTCAAAGAATTTCCCCCTAGCCCCCAAAAAGAAGAAAAGAATTTTGAGACTCGAAGGGATTCCACAAGAAACAATGAGATGGCTTAGAGCTTCCAAAGTGATGGTTTTCTATACATGATTTATTCCTGCGGGATAAAATAGAAATTAAAAAAACAGAAGCTTGGGGGAATAACAGTTAAGTGTAAAGCTCTTCTATTGGTAATATCTCTGGCTGAGACAAGTTCAGACTCTGGTCACCCCAAGCTTTCGTTCAAAGAGGCGGCGAAGAAGGTAAACTTGGAGAGCGCTGGCACCAACAAGTGCTGCTGATTCAAAGAAGGCCTTGTGGATTGCCCTCCGGCTCATTGCTTCGTTTACTGCATCAACGATTGCCAGGGCAATTTACGTAACAAAGAGATCAAAATTAAAATTATGTTTCACATGTTTGTAGAGAAACATATTTGTCTATGCACACTACGGAATCAATACTAGTTCAACGTAAGTGTAAAAGCTTCCTCTATATTTGCCGGAGTTCAGCAGATACCTATTGCCTGGCGTTCGGTCTGAGCCTCGAGCCAATGCTGCTCAAACTGAATGTTGTAAAGAGCTTCCTCTAACTTTGATACCTGCTCTAACAATGGGTTAAAATGCTCTGCATATATGCAAACAAAAATATCATAAGTCCGTCTCCTTATTTCACAAAGAGCTCAACAGTTCAAAGAATAACTAAAGATTTCAAAAGAAGCACAAAGCAACCGCTCACCATCTTTTGCATGTTGATCATAGTACGTAAAATGGCTAACGTGTATATCGAAGTCTATGGTTTCATGATAAGGTGACTTGTTGGTGAAGCAGAACTGATGGACTCCTTTGTGACGAGTGACAAAATCAAACTTCTCACTTGTCTTGTCACGAAAATCGTGAATCTGCTCACCAGAAGGTCCCTTCACCTGAAAATTCCAACAACATTGTACGATCACAGGTGGGTTTTCAGTTAACATGCCTCTCTTTGGCCAAAAAAAAGTTAACATGCCTCTGAATATTATGCTTAACAATATAAGCATGGATTAATGCAAGCTCTTCAACCACTATGATCCATTTATGTTTTTGCTTACGCAAACACATGGTTTCCGGTTTAGCTACATACGTTATGAGCTCTCTTATTAAATCAGCAGTAAATGAAAGAGATCATGGCATGGCTAAAACCATATATGAGAAATTATCAAACCCAAATCAGGGAACAAATGTCGAGCTTACCACGAGGTCAACACCGTCTTGAGTATAATGCCAA